TAGACTATTATTTTGTACTAGTCTGCTAGAAATTTCGGCAAATAACACGTATGTAGAACAAGTGATAGCCAAAATTATTTGGACGGTGTCGAACGGCGTTCACTGAACTTCGCTAATATTTAATCCCTGCCAGGGGGAACGGCGTTCTCCCATGTTTGATTTTGGCAAGGGGAACGCCGTTCCCCTGGTAAAAAAAGGTGGGGGGACGGCGTTCCCCCGCGTTCCCCCTGGAAAACATCACTGCGTACAGGCCTAGTAGCAGACATTGGAGATGAGGCGATCACAAGAATTGTCAATTACTGAGATCGATTATTTGAACGATTTTAATCTGCATCTGCCAATTATGTTGCCAGTCATCGGTGCCAGATGACCACTGGAGGTCATATATAGCTTAGCGGTGAGACCCTCCAGTTATATATAGAGCTCAATGGCGTACGTCACCATCTTGCAGTGACGTTCTCTGGTCTTAAACTTTTATTTAATAAACGAGTATATTGTTTTACCTGTCGAGGACTGCAGACTGGCAGCCGAAAGCTCGTCGTATATTTAATAAAAGTTTAAAGGCCCGTTTACACGGGCGATTTTTGCTGCGATTTTAGTTGCGATTTTCTCCTTTTGGAAGATGTGAAGGAGCAGATTACTTAATGACGTTGTTATGAAATTTCATAACCTGGAACATTTATAACTTATCCACTCCTTCACATCCATCAGAAGAAGAAAATCGGCAAATTGGCATGCTGGCAATTTCTCAAATTGGCATGCTGGCAATTTCTATTTGAAAGTGAATTTGAATTGGTTTTACAATCGGAAAATGCAGGAATTTTACCGATTCCGATTGTCTACCGATAACGCAATAATCGACTCCAATATCGGTCAATCTTTTCTTATGTATTTTGTATTGTTAAAAGGTGGTGAACACGTTCGCATAATTTTGGGGGAGCGACTTTAGCTTGACAATATATTTCAAACCTTTTTTTTGTTTACATTTAATACCAATTAAGACCAAATCAAGAACAATTACATGTCATGAATAAAATATGTTTAAATAAAAAAATACTTCAGTTAACTATCTGTCTTCCATTTAACTTCCAGTGACAGTGTTCTTCAATGTTTACTACTATATTTATATTAGTTTAACTGAATAAACTAAATATGCAATTAAATTGTAAACAATTTATGAGTTCAGCAGCTCATACCAAAGCATGAAGTCTACACGAGGTTCATTTTTACTTCAATGGATAAGCATAGTGGAGTTGGACTTTTCTGCTTTTTCGTTGTGTTTCTTCTGGGTGTGGCGCCAAAACTGAGTCCACCACAGGGTTTAGGAGCATGTGTAGAAGACACAAAACTAGGCATTGTCGGTGTCCCAGTAGTGGTGTTTCCACCTGGTTTAGGAGAGCTAAAACTGAGTCCACCACTTGGTATGGAAGAAGATGTAGAAGACCCAAATCTGGATATTGTCAGTGTCCCAGTGGTAGTGTTTACATCTGGTTTAGGAGAGCTGAAGCTGAGTCCACCACTTGGACCACTTGGGTTGAAAAAAGATGTAGAAGACCCAAATCCAGGAATTGTTGGTGTCCCAGTAGTAGTGTTCACACTTGGTTTAGGAGAGCTAAAACTGAGTCCACCACTTGGACCACTTGGGTTGAAAAAAGATGTAGAAGACCCAAATCTAGGCATTGTTGGTGTCCCAGTAGTGGTGTTTACACTGGGGTTAGGAGAGCTGAAGCTGAGTCCACTACTTGGGTTGGGAAAAGATGTAGAAGACCCAAATCCAGGCATTGTTGGTGTCCCAACAGTGGTGTTTCCACCTGGTTTAGGAAATCCACCACTTGGGTTGGAAGGAGGTGTAGACATAAATCCAGGCATTGTTGCTGTCCCAGCAGTAGTTTTTAGAGTTGGCTCAGGAGAGCTGAAACTGAGTCCACCACTTGGGTTGGAAAAAGATGTAGAAAACCCAAGTCTAGGTGTTGTTGATGTCCCAGCAGTAATGTTTACACTTGGTTTAGGAGAGTTAAAACCGAGTTCACGACTTGGTATGGAAGGAGGCGTGTAGGACCCAAATATGTATATTGTTGTTGTCCTAGCAGTAGTGTTTACACCTGGTTTAGGAGAGCTAAAACTGAGTCCACCACTTGGGTTGGAAGGAGGTGTAGAAGACCCAAATGCAGGCATTGTTGGTGTCCCAACATTGGTGTTTCCACTTGGTTTAGGAGAGCTGAAACTGAGTCCACCACTTGGTATGGAAGGAGATGTAGAAGACTCAAATCTAGGCATTGTTGTCGTCCCAGTAGTAGTGTTTACACTTGGTTTAGGAGAGCTAAAATTGAGGCTACCACTTGGGTTGGAAGGAGGTGTAGAAGACCCAAATCCAGTTATTGTTTTTGTCCCAACAGTGGTATTTACACTTGACTTAGTAGGGCTAAAACCGAGTCCACCACTTGGTCTGAAAGGAGACGAACCAATAGGGGTTACAGTAGTAGGGGTTCCATTTGGCTCAGGAGGGCCAAGACTGAATCCAGGTATTGTTGTCGTCCCAGTAACATTGCTATTTATTTTGTGCTTGACTTTCATTTCATATCTTATATTAACAGATGACATGCATGCTTTTTCGTCAAATGTGGATGTTTTTCCAACAGGAATTGATGTAGGAGACCGACTAGCAGCCTGCCATTGAATCACCACTTCACTTTGTTGAGCTAAGTTAATGACTGCTAAGGAAAGTGTGGCTGTGAACAATGCTTTGCTTTCTGCCAAATCCATAATCTTGATAGCACGACTAATTACCAGGACCATTCTGTACCCACAGTACCAGAATTTGCCTGATTGGAGTGGATTGCCAGTTAGAACCAGCTTGTCCAATTTATCTTTCGGTATCACCCATGTGTAGGAAATGAAGGACTCTGTATTAGCTTTCCTTTTCACTGGTTGACATGGCAACCGTCGCTTCAAGGTATCCGATAGAGCATGATAATATATTCCTCTTAGGTAATGGTCATTGAAATCTGGTAACTTCTTCGCGACAGAATTGTGTTGCACAATATTGTACAAGTAATCAATCGGCATCAATTCAAATCTGACAACGGACAACAATGATGGAAGCTCTTGACTTTCTAAGACATTATCAATTCCACGTTGCTCGATCCAATACATCAATGCGTGAAAAATAGTGTTCTCACTGGCTGCGATCAGTTCGTCACTACTCAGAAGGCACTTTAACGAATGCTCGCACAGCTCTGTAAAACGTGTTGTCTGCCATGTTATATCCAAAGGGCTGAATTCTTTTGCAAGAAATGACTGGAGCTTCTTTTCAAGATCTTCAACATCTGCCATTGCATTATCAACTTTAATAAAGCGTATAATCTTCTCAAAAAGTTCAAGGGAGTCCACCATGGTCTCTAAGCAGTACTTGCACTTCTTAAAAACAAGTTTGACGTCGTATTTCTGAGCAAGTTTCAAAACTTCGATGAGTTCATCAACACTAGCATTATCCAACGTATCAATTTTATACATTGCTTCCAATAACATCAAATGAACTTGTTCTTCGCTTTCCGAGATCTGAACATGAACTTCCGGCGTATTTGATTCCTTCGTTCCCGAGTCAAACAAGGAACGGAAGTAGGAACTCTGCACGGCTAGCCATACGCTGTGAACGTAGAATTTATGTTGGCGAATAATTTGTCCTTCGTTGGTAGGATAGCTCGTTGCTTTATTGCTCTCTCTCGAAATCTGATTACTATGTTCACTTTGAACTTTATCATTCAGGCTGAGATACGGATCACTATCATCTTCACTTTCATTGCTCAATTTGTTTTCAATGTGTTGGTTACCTGTTCAAACAAATACTTAATGTTTGAAAAAAATTACCAATGTTTGACAGTGGTCATGACATAGAGATTTTTTAACATGGGAACTCTGAGAAACTCCTGCTTTCAAACATAAACTGCCCACTCTTCTGTCTGTTTGCGCTAATTTAAAATCGTTAAACCCATGTTGAATATATAACTGGGTTTTGGAAGAATATGCTGAAATTCTATCTTCACCCATCTCTGAGCTCTTAAACCGTTATATATCGAACAGAAGTTACCATCAATTTGGAGGAGCGCAAATGGTGAAGCGTGTACAGTTATCACCGATATAACCAAGAACTTTAAGGCCCCATCCCCTCTGTATTGAACTCTTATCCCTCTCTATAAGTTCCCACCCCCTCTCTATATCATGACCCCTTCCCCTTCTATTAACCTCCACCTCTCTTCATTAAGTATCCACACTCACTATTTTTAGCTCTTACTTATCTTCCTCTACAGGGTGTATAAAAAAAAACTGAACAGATTCGAAATTGCTCTCAATTTCGCAAAACACCTATTTGCATGCGGTTTTTTATATATATAGTTTCTTTGCGCACTTATAATGTAGAATAATGGGAAAAAAATTTTCGAACTCAAATTTTGTGAATCAGGTGGTGTCTTTTCCAACAAACTAGAAATGGCTGGCGCACAAAATTTAAAAGTTGTAATCATATTTTGAGTTAATAGATGGAAAATTTGTTTGGTTTTTAATTACTGTACAAAATTTCAGACAATTTGGTTTAGTTTAAGCCCCTTTAACTATTCATTTTATTCTAAAAAATCAGCCTTTTGCATGCTAAATGCATTTACCTAATTTGCATATTGCTGACATATGCAAATTAGGCAAAGACATATGCAAATTAAGCAATTAATTAAGCATGCAAATAGCTGATTTTTAGGAAAAATGTAACTTTGCGTGAATAGTTAAAGGTTTAAACTAAACCAAATTGTCTGAAATTTTGTACAGTAATTAAAAACCCGACAAATTTTCCATCTATTAACTCAAAATATGATTACAACTTGTAAACTTTGTGCGCGAGCCATTTTTAGTTTGTTGAAAAAGACCGCCCCCCCCCTGGTTTACAAAATTTGAGTTCGAGAAATTTTTTTCATTATTCTACATTATAAGTACGCAAATATATATATATATATATAGGTTATCATATAAGGGATGAGGTGATATCAGTTTTATCGCTCGAGGGATGATATCACAATTGTCACGAGCGAGCGCAGCGAGCGAGGGACAATTGTGAT